CCAAATCCAGTGTCCTGACTGACCTCAGGCTGCCTCCCCTGCAGGACAACAGCAGTGGATAGAAGTGATGAAACAGCATCTCTGCCCCATGGACCTGATAAAATGTATTTTTTATTTAAATTAACCTCCCAGGATCCCAAGGATCCAATGGGGTAATGAATACAACAGCATCTTATAAGCATGTAAGTGGCAGACCACCATTAGCACAGATCATTTTCCCAGGCTGACTGATCAGTTCAGGGATCATACTTGAGTATGGCAGTATTAAAACCACTCCTTAACCAAAATTGACCAGAATTTTCAAAGAAATCTCCAAAGACTTTCACAGCTCCTGAGGCACATAGCCAGGTTCTAGCTCAATTTGATTTGAGTCCAACACTAAGGCACTGCCCCCTGACCACCAGCTTCTCCTGTATCCCACCAGAACCTGGATTCTTGCAGTTGCTTCTTTCTGGGAGGAAATACTAAGGAAGCATGTTCTTGTTGTTAACTCATGACCGTTGGATATAACGCTAACATAAACGTAAGGAAAGTGAGCCAGTTTATCTTCAGGTGTTTCAATAAAATCAGGAGATAATGCTGAACTGTGATTTCAGAAGGAAGACGGCAGAAAAACTCACACACACCAAGCAAGTGCCAGGCTGCAGATCCCAAGCTGCCCTTTACCCAGGACATATCCCCATATCCCCCGCCCTTCTGATGACAAGTATTATTATATACACACACACCACCACCACCACCACCACCACACCCTCTTAAAGATTAGGCTCCAAGGCTAAATAACCATCTCTGGTTACACGGCAGATAAGGAAAGTTAGTATTAAACAACCAGGTCTGTCTGGCTCCAAAGTTAGTGCTCTTTCCCCTCCACTAAGTTGCTAGGTGGCGCTGACTGGAAGCCCCAGGCACTGCCCCCAGAAGTGTCTGCATCTGCTTTATCAGGGGACCTAGTCCTCCACCACAGTCTCCCACTGGGTGGCCTAATGCCAGGATGACCAGTAACAAGAATTGTGCCAACTGCTCTCCTCTCTGAAGGTAGGTAGCAACCCTGAAAATAAGCCTTCTCCTCTTCCAGTCCTCCACCCAACCCCACTCCTGGAATATGCAGTGTTGACAAGCTGTATGTGTGGTGACACAATCCAATTATCTGTACAACTTTATTGCTCACTACTTTCATCCCTTCCTTATTAAAATTGTGAACACTCTTCGTTATTTCTCATACATGGCCTGCCTAGAAACTCATTTGACGGGGAAATGTGCCCCTCTGTGACTTGCATTTAAAACTGTCTGACTCGGTTTCAGCAGCCTGGGTGAAGAACCAGGGTGACAGGTCTGTGGGAAATTCTAAAGGGCTTCTCAATTTTTTTTAAGCCACTCTTTCTCACAATAGGTGGCCCGTGCCCTGAGGTATTCCTTTTTAGGAAATAAAATATCTGCCCAGGAACTATCTGAATTTTGCCAAGGGGAAAACAACTTTTCTAGTCTATAATATCATGTAATAATCTAAAAATGCACTTACGATATAATGTCCAAAATAAAGCAGGATATAAAACTGTATGAATAGTATGATCTCAAGCCACTCTGAAAGGTTAGTCCCTAAGAAAAGGACTGCAATGTTAGTAGTAGTTACTTCTGATTGATGGAAATATGCAGGCTTACTTTTTCTTTTCTAATTTTTAATAAGAAGCATATATAGCTTTTTAAAAAATGAAAATCACTAAAAAATATATATATTTTCCCAGAAAGAGACCTACATATGATTCAGTGTTTCCTTACCACTGAAAGCTTTATATAAACTTTGACTAATACCAGGCACAGAGACTGTTCACGAAAAGAAAGTTATCTGTCAATCTTGCTGATGAATATAGATACCAAAATCCTAAGAAAATATAAACAAATCAAATCCATATATAAAAAACAATACACCTGAACCAGTAGAATTTACTTCAGAAATGAAGATTAGAAATCTATCAGTAAAATCCACCATAAGATAAATTAAAATAGTAAAAATACGCATTGATATAAATATAAAAAGGCATATAATAAAAATTCAATATGTAAATCAAAACTTTAAAATAGACTTCCTGAAAAATGATTAATGAAGGAGAACTAATGAATAATCTTTAACCTGGGGGGAAGGGTAGGGTTTGGGAGGAGGGGGGTAAAGGGGAAAAAATGGGAGATATCTGTAATACTATCAACAATAAAAAACATATTAAAAAGAATCTTTAGTAAAAACTTAGATATGATTTACAGTAATTTAGAAGCATTTCTACTAGTTTAAGGACAAGACAAGGATACCTACTATCACTAAATATTGTATTGACAGACTAGCCAATGCACTATGATAAGAAAAAGAAGTACCTAAGGATTGCAAAGGAAGACAGAAACTTACTTACAAGGTTATATGTTGCCTCCACAGAAAATCAAAGAGGAGATGGAGAAAGTATTAGTAAGAGCTTAGCAATACAATTATATTCAAGATCAAGATATACACTGTTTATTCTTTTTAAAGTTTGGGCGCAGTTACCAACATTCCTTTAGTAGAATACTGACTATTCCAAAGTCAAAACTGAAGAATAATAAATAAATTAAATTAATCCTGTTACCAGCATATTCTCTCTCTTATTTTAATGTGTTTTCATGGTGCTTGGATCAAACACATTATCAAGAATAAAGATTTCTTTCTGTTACATAATTACAAACAATTTTTAGTTCTTGCTCTGAGACAAATAATCTATTATACAGTTCTTAAGATCCCCTTGGCTCTACAATGGGATAAGAGAAATCAATGTAAGATGAGGATGAGGATGATGAAGGTAGAGAAGACAAAGAGGAGATGGGTAGAAATGGAATAGGAGAAATAGAGAAAATAAGTGAGAGAAGGAAAATGAAGAAAGATGATAGGAGAGGAAGGGGATGGGAAGCAGTAGGGCAAGAATGGGGGAGGAAAAGGAGGAACAAAGCTAAATTTCCTTGAGCCTTTAATATATGCCAAGGCCTATACTGAATGTTTTATTTGCTTTATTTCAATTAATCTTCATGGTGAACCTTTGAGGTCTGCAATATTATATTTTCATTTTATAGGAGAGAAAACTGAGGCTCAGAGAGTAAATTAATATTCTAAAGTTACATAGTTAGGAAACAGTATAGCCAGAATTTGACCCAGATCGACCTGCCCAGACTCTGTGGGATTAGCCACTCACTAGAGAATACTCCTTGCATATGTATTGTGCTGGTTTTAGGGCTTATTAGGATATGAAGATGAGGAGGAGATAAAAAGGTCACCTTCACACTCTCCTTCCAAATCCTCCACTAAGCTAATGTTCTGAAAACCTGAATCCTCTCTTTAGAATACTTCTGGGTTTGCAATGTTAAAATTAAGAATGAAAAGATGTGCACTAAGATACAATTTTTAATGTATTAAGCATTCAAGAGCACAAGTTTAGAGGGAAGGTTAAATTTGAAGCAAAAATATAACCTGTCAGTTTCCACTGAAAAAGGATTTAAATTCTAGTACATAACAGATTCTGCAATTTTTTCCTATGTAGCAGTTCTCCCAAGACCTGTATTCTCACCCACTTGCTTTTCGTCTATTATGCTTAGGCCACAATGCATAAAGAACAAGGTTTACATTAAGTTTTAGAGAATAAAATAGACTGCTTCCAAAATATTTGTGTTTCCAATAATCATCTAAAGTATAACGTATAGTCCTCCCTGGGGTGTTGGCTGTCTGAAAGCTGCATATGTATTACATGTATGTCCCTGTTTCCAGAGTGTCAGACAAGTGCCATCACCAACATGACAGGGCAGGCACAGCACAATCCCAAACAAATCACTGCCTCACAGAGCAACCAGAGGCATCCGGGTTTGCAAGCTGATATTGACAGATCTCAAGACCTGAAAGAGAGCCCTATTAATCCTCCTTCATGCAGCGGAGAAGATGGGGGAGGAAAGAGCTGAAACCACGGGGAGAAACACACACACACACACACACACACACACACACACACACACACAGACACACACAGCTCGCAAGAAGTTGTTGGCATCCAATTACAACAGGGAGACACATTTCCTGAAAGGGACAGTCATAAAGCGATAGGACCCAAATCTTCAGAAAACATCAAAAGGGATAGATTTATTCTATCATCACACTAGCACACCGGTCTTCATTCTCAGGAGGCTATGTGTCTACCCTGTGTCAGCACTTCCGAAGTATTGGGAGTGAAAGGGTGAACAAGAGGTCTAGGTCTGAAGGGGTGTATGATAGAGTTGACAAACAAAAACACAGGACATTTTTAATAAATTGAGATAGTAACTAAGTGCTACTGAAGCAAAACAAATGAGCAACTGCCCCAATTCAGGGAGTAAGGAAAGCCCTACATTCCCTAGGGGTCCCACTAAGCTCAAACCTGAACAACAAGGAGGAGTCCTTTTGGAAAAAAGTGGAGCATGATTTCAGGCTGGACTAGTAAGAGTACAATGACTCTCAAAGTCTGGTCTCTGAACCAACAGCAATAGCATCATATGGGAACTTGTCATAAATGCAAAGTTTTGGACCCCATCTTAGACCTGGGGAACCAAAACCTGGGGATGAGCCTTGGCCATCTGTGCTTTCACCATCCTTCCAGGTGCTGCTGGTGCTGCTGGCCTCTGAGAACCACTTATGTATGCAAAGGTGAACCACAGAGGACAGAATGCCTGGAGGATAAACAGGGTTAAGGGGTGGGGGGGGGCTTAGGAAAATATTGCTGGAGGGATGGGAAGAAGGTACATCAGGAAGGGCACTATATATGTCATGAAAAGAATTTTAGATTTTACCCAGAGAATAATGAAGACCCATTAAAATATATTATGAATACAAAAATATCCAATCATGTCGGTGACTCTAATATATATATATAATTTTTTTACAAAGATAGAAGATATATCATTACAGAGATAAAAACTCATTCTGATACAAACAAGCAGCCACAAAGGAACACATTCACTCCTACCTTTCTTTCTGGAGTCTTTCTTGGCGCTGGTTTTCACAGCTACTTGAAGTTCTGTCTCAGTTGACATCCTACTAAATCCTTAGTCCACTGCACACAGATCCAGGGCCTCGGCCAGGCTCATGGGGGACTCCTCTCCCAGAGAACGACGCCTCCCTTTAGAAATGACGCCCCGAGCTGCACATGTCATTCACTCCTTCCGAGTGCTGCAAATCAAGGGAAGAGAATGATCAAGGTGGTCATTCAGAATAGTCACCCCTTTGACGTTAAACAGAAATTAGGGGAAAAACAGTCATAAAAAAAACAAAACAGAAAATCTTGGCCTCCATGTACAAACTGCTCACATGATTTCCCCAAGCCATGGACAGGGCTTACAGCAAAAGGAATGAGAGGCCTATATGCAAAACGCAAAACCATTTCTCAAACCAGGTAACTCAAAATAGGTCTTCGGAACTCTGGATTTTCAAAGAAGGGCAAACCCAAATCTTTGTTTTCCATGTTTCTTATTTTCAAGCAGTGGATGTCACCCAGAAAAACACAGCAAAGGCTTATTTCCTGAGCAGCCCGTGCAGATGTTCCCAACAATGGGGCACCCATCCATCAGCCAAGCTTGATCAGAGCCTTGGCAGCTAAAGCAGATCATAGGGAAGTGGCCTGGGTCTGCCCCTCACTGGCAGGCAGCAGGCGGGACATGGAGTTGACATACAATTGGGCTCCAAGAGTAAGGTGACAAATGGGACTGAGAAACTTTCAGCAAGCCAATTTGTATGTCAGCTTGTCCCCCAGCTATAAGAGCAGACAAGCATTTAATGTGGGGAGAAAAAGAAGCAGGCAGACACACATTTCATTCATTCTTTCTCTAATAAAGTATGCGTTGCACAGTGCTCGGGAGTATTAAGTTCAGACACTGTGCTGGGAAGAGAAAACAGTGATAATACAACCACTTCAATTACAGCTAGTATTTACGATGCACTTACTATATACTATGCCCTCAGTTACTGCTTCACATACATTATCTCATTTGATTTCATTACACTGAATGAATGTATTCCCTGTGTCAAGTCAGCAGTCTTTCCCAATGACTACCTATCTGATAGTTACATCTGAGAGTTTAGTGGAAAATAAACATTTCACTAGTTATCCATGTTTAAATAATATTAAGATAATATTTAAATAATACTAGAGCTGGAGCTGCCAAGACTCTGACCAAGTTAGGCTGATCAGGCTACTAGAAATGGACCTTTAACTGTCTAGTCAGCCAATGGTTAGCTCACCCACAGATCTAGAATAGTGTAATCTAACAAGGCTGACCTTAAATGCCAGTTTCAGCTCAAAATGGATAATGAACCAACCTTCTTACTCAGGACAACTAAAGATGGCTTAACTAGAAGGTCTAACATAAAAGCCACATGAAATTATAGTAATGCTTAAATTGAGGGAAATTTCCACCTTATCCAAAGGTATCTGGTTAGGTGTTGTTTTTCTTTTAAGTTTTTTTTTTCTTTATTGACTTCAGAGAGGAAGGGAGAGGGAGTGAGAGATAGAAACATCATTGATGAGAGAGAATCAATGATCCGCTGCCTCATGCACTCCCCATGCTGGGGATCGAGCCCTTAACCCAGGCATGCCCCTGACCAGGAATAGAACCCTGACCTCCTGGTTCATAGGTTGATGCTCAACCACTGAGCAACACTGCTGGGCTTGTTAGTTTGTTTTTAACAAGCTATTTTTCAAAAGGACACTAGCCCTAAATGAAAGGAACCTGAACTAGAGGATCTAAGGTTACAAGTAAGGAAAATGAAAAATGGTCTTCCTAGAATGGGGTCCATAAAATTATTCATAGAAAAATGGGAACTTTTCTGCCACTGCTGTGCCATCTATCTGCACCATGCCACTCACCCAGTGATGGCGAACCTTTTGAGCTCAGCGTGTCAGCATTTTGAAAAACCCTAACTTAACTCTGGTGCCGTGTCACATATAGAAATTTTTTGATATTTGCAACCATAGTAAAACAAAGACTTATATTTTTGATATTTATTTTATATATTTAAATGCCATTTAACAAAGAAAAATAACCAAACAAATGAGTTTGCATGTCACCTCTGACACGTGTGTCATAGGTTCACCATCACTGCACTCACCTAACCTCTCCCCTCCCCCAAAAGACAACATTCCATGAGAGATGACATAGTCACAAACTCAATTATATATGGACATACTTTTATTTATAATACTTATCATTTTGTAATAACAAACATGTACTGAGAACCTACTGTGGGCCAGGTGAAAATCCTGGCTCCTTCCTGTCAACAAACATTTCCTGTGTAACCATGCTGACCAAGAGTACAGAGACAAAGACTGACTCCTGTCCTCAAAGAAGCTCAGCCTAGAAGAGGTGTGGTCATGTAAAGGACTGCAATACACATGGCCAGAACTAAAACTGACATATACCCAGCATGCTGGGGCACACAGGATCAACGATTCACCTCTGCTCAGAAGTGTCAATGAAGTTTCACAGAGGAGAAGCCTATCCTGTGAGATCCTGAAGAATGATGCTTCAGTCCAGTGGGTGATAAGGGAAAAGGCCAATGGGTACTCAATAAATGCATGTATAATAAAGGAATGAATGGCTGTTTCAGGCAGAAGGACCAGAATGTGCAAGGAGGCTTGAAATTGACAACCAAAGTAATAAAAGGAAGCGTAAGTCTAGTAGGGAGGTGATGATATCCAATCCCATCTCCCCAATTTTCCCTTGTGTTACCTTTCCATAGAATCTTTCTTTTCAATCTGCCTTGATAGTCCATTGATCCCCTCAAGCCTCAGTTCAAAGAAATATATCAGGCAGAAAGATTTTTCTGATCCCTCTATTCAATGGAATCTCTCCTTATGTATTTTATGATCTGATGTTTGGCCAGCTTCATCGTTTGAGCCACATACAAGCAATGGAATACTGAGGAAGTTACTCAACCTTTCTTTGCCTCAGTTTATCTACCTCTATAGTGGAGATGACAATACCAATTTCATAAGGCTGCTATGAAAATTTAAGTGTGATCATATGTGTAACATGCTTCAAAGAATGCCTGGAACATTAGCTGGCAAGTACTTGGTAAACATTAGGCACTAATACGGGTGTCCCAAAAAATGTATACACACTTTGAATAATTATAAAGGCAGTGTTTATTAAAATACATTTCATTTTCAAAATGGAATAGAATCTACAGACAGAGTGTGCATACATTTTTTGGAGGGGGGCACCCTGTAGTTTCCTATATTAATTGCTCAAGGTCACATGGCTGGTATGTGACCACAAGCCCATATTATTATTATTTCCCTTTTACAGAAGAGTAGACTCAAATAGTTCAAATTCACTTTCTAAGAAATGATAGACTCTAAGATATTCCCATCATGCTGGTTTTGCACACACCTAATCCCAAAATACAAAAATGAGATGAAATATATGGATTTTACACAATTTCAAGAAGGGCAAAACCCAACTTTTTGTTTCCTATGTTTCTTATTTTGAAGTACTAGATGCCACCCAGAAAATACAGCAAAGGCATATTTCCTGAGCAGCCCCATGGAGACATTTCCAACAGTGGGGCATTCATCCATCAGTCAAGGTTGATCAGAGCCTTCAAGTCGATGCATGAACTACATTGGATTTGGACTCTTTCCTTCCCTTCAACTTTATAAGCCATAATACAGTACCTGTCCCTATTCCGTGGGTCTCTCCAGCGCCACTTGTTCCACCAAATGTGATTGCGTTCAAGTGTTATAAGCATTACTTGTGATTTTCTGAAGTACATCCTTATATCAATAATGAAAGGAAACCGGCATCATTTTGAATAAAAACTTCAATAAAGAAGCTGCGGTACAGAGAGAAGGTACTATGGCTGAGACCCTGGCCTCCCCTTTTAATTTTCCAAAAGCCAGAGGTTGAGCAAAGGCTGTGAAGTAACTCCAAATTATTTAGGAAACTCATTTCTTTGTAATTAAGGAGATTAAAGTCCTCTAGGGCCAGAAACCATGTGACAACTCAAATCATTTTTCCCAGCAAAAGCTGTGAAACCCTATCAGTGAAACTCAGGCTGGCCGAGAATTTAAAATGCTTCAATAATGTTTCTTTGCCCCACACAATCTGCGGTAATTTAATATTCCTGAAGTGTGTCAGGTTTTTATAATGAGCTCTTCAACTCTAAATGTGAATTATGTAATATTCCACTACAGACATTTCGTCTAGTGAACTGCTGTGAAATGTAAAACCCCATGTTCAGTGATTGGGGGTGGGGACAACACCAAACCACAGCAGAGAAAACAGATAAGACTTTAAAAAAAATGACAACAAAGCACAAAGGTTTGAGCAGCTACAACAGAACCAACACATACTAGAACACCTACTGTAACACAAATCTGTGCACCACCCCACTCCTCATACGATTCTACAGTAAAATAGCTAATGTTTATGAGGGCCCACTATTTACCATGTACTATACTATCAATGTCTCATCTATTACCTCATTCAATCCTTCAATCACTTGAAAGTTAGATATTTTCTTCGTTTGACAGATAAGGAAAGTGAGGCCAGTTTAGTAGCTTATCCATGGTTATGTAACTAATAAGTATCACAGGGCAGGGTACAAGTCACTCTTGTCCCCAACTTCAGTTAGCTGGTGAACAGATAAAAAATGTGGTGCATTCCTACAATGGAACATTATTCAGCCACAACATGGCTTGATAATACTTTCTACAACATGGATAAACCTGGAAGAAGCATGCCAAGAGAAAGAAGTTAGACACACAAGATCACACATTTTATGATTACATTTATATGAAATACCCAAAATTGGTAAACCCAGTGACAGAAAGCAGGTCAGTGGTTGTCAGGCTCTGGGGGAATTGAGGGAAGGGCCAGTCATTGATTGCTGGTTACAGTGCCTCCTTTGGTGGTGATGGTTGCAAAAAAAAATACCACTGAATTATACACATTAAAATGGTTAATTTTATGTTATGTGAATTTCACCTAAACTTAACAAAACAAAGAAAACCCTTCCCAGCCAGGTCCTACACCCTGATTTAAGCCTTATGTGATATGCTAATAGTACAAATTCCAGTATAAAGGGACAACCCAGATTTACAAACCAGTCTTCCTAAAACTATGACTTTGGGTTTGAGTGGCAGCGACTGCATAGCTTATAAGGTACATAATCATTAC